TCTCTCTCTCTCCCTCCCCCCCCCCCCCCCCCCCCACTGAAGCAGCTGGTCTACCTGGTGACCGACAAAGCAACGAGGCTCTCCTGGTTGGGGGCCCAGCACTGCTGCGTGCACGCCAGGGCTGCTAGGCAGCCTTTCTGCACAGTGTGTCTGTAGAGCTAAGGGATGTGTGTGCACGCATGGATATACACACTCATCTGATGGGCTCTCCTCCCTAGGGATACAGGGAAATAAGGGCTCCGTTCTGAAGTCTCACTCTCATCAACAGCTGCCTCCTGAGACCACACATAAAATTCATAGAAAATAAAGGAGTTTGGGCACATCCCATCACAACTGAAATTCAGCAATGTGACTACCAACTCAGGACTAACAGGTCCTAACAGGGTGAAAAATGGGTTCCTGCATCACTTGGGATGCTCAGAATGTGAACTCTGCAATGGTTTTGCCCAAGCCCAGGTCACTATTTTTATTTTCCTCCTCTATTATCTCACCTCAAAACAAACAACATCTCCTGAAAGGGACAGATGGTGGTTTTTAACATGAAACTTTAACAAATGAAGGAATTCGTTTTCCAGAGTTCTCACTGTCTCCCACACCATCTTTCCAGGGGCTGTGTGCAGGAAGGCTTCAGTCTCAGTCATGCAGCTGGTATGTTCGTGTGTGTGCATGTGTGTGTGCATGCGTGCATGCCTCTGTTCGCCTATGCTCAAGGGGATCAGAGTGTGTAGAAGACAGAGCCCTCTGCACTAAACTTCTGAAATCTCCTAAACCTATGAGTTGGTCCTGCACAAGAGTGAGGAGCCTGTGGTTAGGGAAGACACTCTTTTTGGCCACGCGATCCGGCCGGAGCCCCTTCTGTTTCCTGCTGCCTATCCAAGTCTGACAGACCTTGCACAACCCCCTTCCTTATGACATGGGAAAGTTAGCGGCCAAACTGACTTTTGAAGTGCACATCTCTTTTTCAACTGACGTTGTTGAAGTATGACAAATCTCAGGCTACGGAACTTGAAACCATCGATATTCTTTTGTTTTAAAAAAAAAACAAGGAGAAGGAGGAGACAGCAATTGTGGAGGGACAAGGCAGCACAGCATGCAGGAATGGAAGGAGAGAACAAACGGCACATCAAGCTGTGTGCACCCCCTGTGCAGCCTGCGGCACCCTCCCTTCCCCACGTGCCACTCTGGGCAGGAGGACTGCTGCAGAGGAGATGTCGCTGGCAGCACTGGGGGACAGTGCAAGTTGCCAAAATATCTTACAAATTGGAAGGATCCTGAGGATGTCTTTGCTCCAACTACAAATGCCAGCCTGGTAAAAGGGGCAGGCCAGCTCTCACCCTGGGCAGAACATTAGAACTGCCTAGGGATCCCTAACAAAAGCTGATGCCTAGGTCCCAGCCCAAAAATTCTTGTTTAATTGATCAGGGTTGTGCCTGAGCTTTCAGAGGTTTAAAAGCTCCCAGGTGATTCTAATGTGCTGCCAGAGCTGAGAACTGTAGTCCTAAGCCAAGGTAAAGCTGGGCCACATCTTCAGCTGGTCACCCACACCAGCTAATTCCTGTTAGATCTGGGTTGGCCTTACAGAGTGAGACCATTAGAAACGTCCACTCAGGCTGAAACAGCTGAGTAGTGGGTTCTTTCGGCATTGATGAGGGTTCAGTACTTGGATGCAAAGAGATTGGCCTTCATCCCCATCTTCTTTACAAGAGCGAGAGAAGGCTATGGAAACAAAGGGAGCTGGCGAAGGGCAGAAATGGAACATGAGTGAGCTGATGCTCTGCTGGACTCCTGGGATAAACCACAACCGCCCCTAGAGGACATGAGCTTGGAAAGGACTCACTCAGTAGGGGCTGTGTGATCAGTTTTCTACACAGGGAATTCCAGTGTCATCTCAGGGCTTGGACTAGGCGACCTCAATAGCTCCTTCCAACCCTGAGATGCTGAGAAACGGACAAGGAGAGGGCCGGCCTTCAGCCCCAGAAGGCCAAACTATATGCCAGTGTTGGGAACGCTCTTTAGGTCCCTGGGGCGCGCCTGATGTTCCCTTCAGCCCCTTCCCACAGGGCTCTCAGGCAGGCTCTGGAGATGTAGGCTCAGGGCCAGCCCCCTGCAACTACCAAAACCAAACAGCCTTGCGTTTCCCAAGTGCAAACAAAAGAATCACTGCACTTTTCTGAATTAATTCCCATCTTGTTCTGGAAACGCTGAGAGGATGCAATTTTTCAATTCAGACAGGAAGCGCACCAACATCGCAGAACCAGTGAACCTGAGGCATCCTGGGGAACCCAGTCTTTGGAGGAAGCCTCCCTCTGACAACTTCTGACCTGGAATGTAATGCCCCTGGGAGGGCGGGCTTCTGTATTTGGGATTGCTGAATCTGTGTCCAGAAACCAGCAACTGGTTCCCTAGAAAAGGGCGAGCATTTGGGGAGGGCTGAACAACCTGACGGCCGTGGGTTCAGAAGCAGCAGCTGGGTACAGCTTTTGGACACCTGGTCCAAACTGAGTACCTGACAAGTCAGGGACAATTCTTGGGTCCCTGGGAGTGAATTCCCTACTGAGTTTTGATAGGCTCTTCAGTAAGTAATAACAAGGCAGACACAGCTTCGAAACAAGTATTTTGCCTCCCCGGCAATAATGATAATGGGAAAAGACCCAATGTCAGCAGCAGTCATTCCCCAGGTTAGGGAGAATATGTTGCCGGGTCATTTCACCATTCAAGGAGTGAACAGGCATCAGAGAGTGAGCAAAAGTGAGCCTGCCAGGCATCGTCTGACATTTTAGCAGCTTGGTGAGGTGATGACCAAAAGTGATGAAGACAAGTCCATGAGAGCTATCACACCACGCTCACAGCAGGCTGGGCATGTGGGAAGGGGCAGCAGGATGGAGAGAGCTGGGGGAGCATGCAAGCAGGACACGGAAAGGGCCATCCAAAATGTTTTTTTGGAAAGAATACAAACACGAGCTCGATGTTTTGATTTCCAGGCCAGATCGTTCATTTTTGAAGATTATGCTGGCAAGTCACAGAGCCAAGCATGACTGACCAAGACGGGCCTGGCTCAGGCCCCAGGCTGGAGACAATGAAATATGGGACAGGAAACAATTTAGATGACCATGACCAATAGCATGTCCTGTGAAACTCAGTGAAAACCAAAGGTGGGGAAGCCAAAAACAGGTACACAGTCTTTAAAGTGCTTTTGCTTTAATGACTTCACCGTATATATGTTTATATATACTTGCCGCTACAATTTTCTAAAAATAAAACCAACATGAAAATCAATTAGGCAACAGAAAAGAAAGATCAACAGAAGTAGGGGAGAGAGCATGACAAGTTAATATTGCAAATAATGATGACTTATGGCAGCTAAAAACAGCCAACAATGGACCAAGAGTGTTCATGCTCAGCTGACCCAGGAACTCGGGGGACAAGGCTGCTAAGGGACATGATGTGCACTGCTCCCCTGGGGGACTCAGCACATGCAGGGGAGGAGGTGTAGGAGTCAACAGCTCCACTCAGATAGTTACACCATCGGAGGTGAAGAACACTCAGTCTCTTATCTCCGTGCCTCCCCCAAGCTTCACCCAGGGCCTGAGAATTGTAGATGTCCAGTAAACATGTGTTGAAAAACTGAATAAATGAGAAGGTGGCCTTGAGCATGTGCTCTGCACTGAGGCCCAGCACCACAATGCTGAGATCTCCCCCAGGAGCTCTCTGCTTGTCCAGGGTGCAGAAGTGGCAATGTCACAGTAGAGGAAGGCTTGGCCTCAAGCTACTTCTGGCCAGGGGAGAGGTCAACTGACTGAAAGAACAGTACGGGAATTATTAGCAGATTTTGAAAGTCTGACTAAATGCCAAGAATGGGCCCAGTTACAGCCTGTTTTGTAGAGATACCCCAGTGTCAAGTGCTAACTAGAAAAGTTAGTGTGGGCTTTTGTAGGCCTGCGGCTATCCTGAATAAGGAGAGGTAAAAGTGGGCAACACTGAAACACTGATGAGCAAGGCTGGGCCAGACGGGCAGGGCTCTGGCCCCTGCATAGGTAAGGCAGCCAGGGAGCGGGGCGTGTGCTGTAGCTGAGGACCAGTGCCACACACCCCCAGCCAGCAGGTGGGTTTGGCATTAGACAGCTGGCTTGTTCACTCAGGGAGCAAACCCTGGCCACATCCTGGTACCCAGAAACTAAGCATTTACACCCAACACCTGCACAGCACTTTAAGCACTGACTGCTCTAGGGAGACCTGCTGAAATTGTAATTTTATTTCCATTATAGACCATCGCTGACTTACATGAGGGTCTGTCCCCAAATTTCCATGTAAGTATACGTTGATGTAGGTTATAAGCCTTTTACATTGTAAGATGATTAAGCAGGCAGGTGTCTGGCCATAAACCCAGGAGAGAGCCCATGGCAACCCAGTTAGGGTCCTGCTGTTCTCCCATTAGCATCAGATTATTTCATAACCAAGAATAATTTACACATTATGAATGGCAATTTCATAGCTGACTTATGGAATATTTCACATGAAGTGAAATTTTCATAAGCCAGCATTTATGGAGGTTAGAGGATGTATGCACCCAGGTCTAGTAAAATACCATTCTAGTGACTCATCATGGCATGAATTTGAGAGTTAGGAGGCTTAAATCAGACCTTCATAGACAGGCTGGTGTCTTCCAGTCCATTTCATCTATTAATACATAAAAAAATCTATACTTACAATGCCCTCATATCTCCCTAACACTTGGGTTTTTTAGCAAGTATTTTCACAAATATTCATATCGTTTTTATCACCACAACATAGCTACAAAGCAGGAGGGCAGATAACATCCACCCTAGTTGATCCACGAGGGAAGCGAGGCCCAGATCAACAAGTCGTTTTGAACAAGGACTAGAACTTCCAGGTCTCGGGACTGCCAGGCCAGTGGCTGTCCCACTACACCCTACACTCCAGAATCAGCCTGGTCTCAAAACCAGGGGCATAAAAGGATTTCACCATCATTATTCAATACAGGTTGTCTGGGTACCAGGAGGGACCGTATAATCATGCAGATGTCAGCCGGGCAGAGCATGGAGGCCCCTTCCTAGCCAGCGTGCAGGAAGGAGCTGGCCAGCCACGTAGAGCAGGAAGCCAACGCCACACAATGGTCCCATCCCATGCTCTACTGTCCCCAAGAAGGGCTCTACACAACCTGGGCATGCACACACTGGACACACACTATGAACTGGGACAGACCAGGTGGGCAGGGCCCTTTCTGCTGGCCTCTGGCCCATCTGGTCTAGGCATGGGTCAGACCTGAGAGGCGCTGCCCGGAGGAGTGGCTCCTCTTTTTCAAGCCTCTCAATTTTGAAGGGGGGCTCTCAGGATGCTTCTAGAAGGGGTGGGGTGTTGCTCCACCTACCATGCTGCTAATGTGCTTGTTCCCTCATCAAAGGATTCAACTGAGTGCAACAAAGGAGTGCTGACCCCTGCTGGTATGCACTAAGCCCCCCTTCCCCCCATTCCCGGGCAGCCTTCAAGCTGCATCACCATTTGGGGAGCTACAATGGGGGACCTCAGTGTCACCAGTCGGACTCAGCAGACACGAGGTACAGATGAGAACAGCAGCACAGCAGCCATGTGCTCTGGGGTTTCCCTCCTGTGCCCTCACAGGACCACTGTAGGTACCAGGGCACATGTTATGAACTCCATTTTATAGCTGGAAAACTGAGGCACAGAGCAGTCAGGTGACATGCCAAGGTCACACAGCTGAGTGACAGTGTGCACATACATCATTAACTCTTGGCCCTAAACATTTTAACAAGATCTTCCTTTAGAATAATGTCTTAGTTCCCCAAACAGTAATTCTACATTTACTTCCCCACTCTCTTTCAGGGGAAGAGGGTGGGGGAGACCACAAAATGTTCTTAGTCTTTCAAAAGAAATGTGTGCCTGAATTTCTAAAATGTAGAGAGATCCCTGGGCAGAGTTTCTAGTCTCCCTCTATGTTAGACTTAACGGAAAAAAAAAATGACGTTGTAGGACACAAAGTTTGCTACTTACATTCACTTCAGTTATAGCAATATCAACGACGCTACCAACAACAATTAAGGCATCAAAAGTGTTCCATGCATCAGTGAAATAGTGCTGTTAGGGCAAGCATTCAGAAGCCACAGAGGAGAGGAAGCACAACAGGAAAAAAGAAGAAAAGGACAGTGTTATAAAAGGGGAATATTCTAGTATTATGTCACCTGGCTACTTGGAAAAATCGCCCTAAAACAAACATGTTATAGATACGTCACTTTGGGTATCAGTGCAGACACAGAAAATCAAAACAATTAGAGACGCCTATCTTACCCTGCCTACCGTGACTTGGGTAATGTTGCAAAAGTGTCCTCCGAAAGGTGATTTGTGCCTAAACAGGCCCGGGATAAGGCTCTATCCTGAAAGGCCTCTTTTCCACAGCTCTCATTAGGAAATTGCTGGTTTTAGCGCAATTGGGATCTGTGACTTGTCCAGGTGATGCCAGTGCGGGGCAGGGAGCGGAATGTGCACAGACAGAGGACAAGAGGCGGGCGGCCACGGGCAGGTCATACTCACGTCGGCTTCGCTGAGGGCCACGTCTATAATGCTGCCGATTACGATGAGGGAGTCAAACGTATTCCAGGCGTCACTAAAATACCCCTGGACAGAGCAGGCAGGGGGCAGACATTTATGAGCATGTATGAACGAAACGCCACACGGACCATATGGGGACACCTCCAAGGCCCCGCAGCACCCACGGCAACCAGGTGGGGAGGTGGGGTAGGAAAGCCAAACGGAGGCAACAATACTGTCCACTGGTGGAAAGGGACAGAGGATGCTGTGCACCTGCATGTGTGAAAGAGGTTGCCCATGTGCGTGCGCGCACACACACGCACACATACGCACACATACGCACGCGCGCACACACATACACACGCGCACACATACAATGCAGATCCATGGCCCTGAGCAGCACCAAAGTGAGCAGGACAGATAGAAGCATTTGGCAACCCTGCCGTGACACTCAGGGTGACAAGCCCAAACCCTCACATGCCGATGGAGGAGTAAGGCCCTCCTGCTCCTTCCATAGGGCCCCCAATCACCCCCACTTCCTTCTCTTCTCTGCTTAAAGAGCACTGTGACCAGGCATTTCACCCCTTCTCATTCTGTGCCCTTAAAACAAACCAGCAATTTTCCCCTTCCTCGCCAGTCCAACAAGAATTACAAAGGGTGAGCCGAAGACAAGTCCCTGTCCTCACAAAGTCGGGGTCTAACAGAGACAGGGATATGTGGCAATGGCTGACAGGGAGGCAGGCACAGCAATGCACACAGGTCCAAGGCACGGAGGTGAGGCAGAGAAGCTCACTCTGGGCTGTGGGGATGGGGGCTCATGTTGGGAAGCCGCGGTACATATTACAGAGGAAAGGGGCCCTGAAGGATGACGAAGATACTCAAGGGCTCCCACTGTGCTTGAGAGAAGCCCTGAGTCACCAACAGACTCCTCCTTGCCTCCCAGTGCTTGCTCTCCTCCCCGCCCTCTTCCCCCTCCAGGCTAAGAGGAACTCCTTTCCATCCCTCAAAACCACCACCAGGTTCTTCCCCACCTCCTGATGCCTCTGTCAGCCTGGTCTCCTCATCCCAACGCTCCCTGCCCACATCCACTTCCTCCTTCAGGGGCAGATCCAATGCTGCCTCCCTGAGGGGACCTCTTCCCGTCCTCCTGACTTCCACCCCCATCATGCTGACTCTGCATCTCTTGATGTCCTGATCACGGAATCAGGGGTCTTTGCCAGTCCACCACACTGGAGGCCTCTTAGGAGGGGGCCTGGGCTGATGATTCTGTCCCCGCCTCCAGTAACCCCCATATCGAGCCCAGAGCCTTGAACCCAGCTAGACGTTGCAATGTCTCTTCCACCAACTTATATCCTATCAGTTACGTACCCCAGTTCTTGTTTTTTCAGGTCCTCATATCTCCTGACAATTCTGAAGGCACGACGTCCCTATCTGTGACTTACAAATCCGCACATATGTGCCACACATTTTACTTCCTCCTCTGGATTCAGCACAGTAGGTGCTAAACTAGTGCTTGTTTCCCACCACCCCCAGGAAGCCTGAGATCAGAGGGGGTAGCGGGCAGCACTGTACACAGAGGCTTCCGGCTGCAAAGCCAACAACTGTCTGTCAATCCACTGTGTCTTTTTGGAAAGTCAGAACATGTTTTAGAAATAAAAATTCAGATCTGATTAATATAAAAACGGGGCCCAGTGTGCTTACAACTGGGTACGCTTCGTGCTGAATCATGAAAACCAGAATAGAAGGTACTTTGAAGCGTCAGGTTTCTGAACTTGTGATCGACTGCAGGCCCAGAGGAAGACAGGGCAGACAGAGCCCCAGCCTTTGATGACATGACAGAAAATGTCATGCTGGCTGTCCTAACAGCTGGTGTGGGGATGTTTATTCCAGTTACTGTTAGTCACTCCAGGGGCATGTACAGGGAGCTATAGTACTGACTGATGCCTTGGGGTTTTACAGAATTTCATCTTAAGTAATGTAAGACTTCCCCACTCAACTGCCAAGACTTCTGACCCATTCTTTACCTCTCTCTACCACCTCCACAATCACAGTGCCTCAATCACACATTATTCTCATTGACTGCCACCCTCCCAGACCCCTATCGCAGTCCTCTAATGAGTCCACGAAAGGAGTTCACCTGAACCAACTCCAAAGACCAGTGTATCCAAGTCTAATGGGAAGGTCTACTTAAAACAGCGGTTCTCAACCTGTGGGTCGCGACCCCTTTGGGTGTCAAACGACCCTTTCACAGGGGTCACCTAAGACCATCGGAAAACACATATTTTCGATGGTCTTAGGAACTGGACACTGCTCCTCTATCCGTCTCCATGCTTCAAGACAAAATTTCATTTATTCCTAATCAGAAATAAATATTTCACAATATATAATTACATATTGTTTTTGTGATTAATCACTATGCTTTA